AATAGTCCTAAGACCTATGTCGGATGATCGACCACCTCGTACGCGTGGCCGTCCTGCCTTTTCGCACTGCTGTCGCCGTTCATGCCATCTTCACCCTCCCTCCAACAACGGAAGGGCGCCGGAGGGCCGCGACAGCCTTGTCTGGCAACTACTGCTGTTCGCGGAGGAGCTGCTGGGCCTCCTCCTGCATGGTACGGAGGACCGCCATGGCCGACGCAGACGGCGCCCGCAAAAGCTCTGACTGCCGCCCTGCCCTGCCGGAGTTGGTCGAGGAGTCGCCAAGCGACCACTCCTCGCCGATCTTGCCGTAAAAGTGGCAACGACGCCTGTCCCCGTCTTCGCCGTGGTGACAGAGCGGTCAAGGGCCCACGCGATGGCGAGGTCCGAGTCGTTGCGGACCCATTCCGGTGCCATGTTAGACTTAGCGAATGCAGAGCGGCTAGGAGCTTTGCGCTAGTCGTACCACGCCTATTGCCTCGTCACACGCTCCTCCTTGGAAACGACAACCCTCGAGCCCGAGGGACCGCCGTAATCACCTCCTCCTTCGAGGTAGTGGAGGATGCGGTCTCGTGCCTTCGTGATCACTGGCGACAACTCCTCCATGATGGGGTGGCGGGGCGGAGACGCGGGCCCGTCAATGCGGACGTACCCGCTGTGCGCCGGCGACGACACGAGCTCCTATTGACGTAGTGTCCGATCTGGACGCCGTGGTTGTGCGCTAGGGGGCGGGTGGGACGCGGTCTCATCCTTGACGCGACGTGCGATGTGGACGCCACGGTTGTGTTGGGTAACGCGGGCTCCTCCTTGACTCGCCGAATGGGGACGTCGGCTCCCGTTTCACGCAGATGCGCGACGGTAACAGTGGCTCCTCCTTGACATGCACCGGCGATGGTGGCGCTGAGCCCATCTGACGGACAAATTCTTCGTCCATCAAAGCTGCCTTCGTGAGGAGACGGGGCCACGGCTGCTGGTGGTGTTCCTCCTTGCCGGAGGAGCCAACCCCCGTGGATGTCGTGGGGCCTGGAGAACGAGGACGACGGTGCCATGAACCGCCTGATGAAGAGCTGCCATCGCTACTGCCTGCCTGCATGGAGAACCAAGACTTCGACATCATCGTTGGAGTTGGGGGGCTCAGAAAGGACGGAGAGGAGGAGGGGCTCGAAGAGGACGAAGTGCGGATGTGCATCGCCGGCGCACGGCTTAAATAGCCGCGACCAGTCCAGTCGAAGGGCCGTTCAACCCGCTTCAATGCGGCACAGCTATCGGAGTTGGTTTCTTAAGGACGCGGCATCCACATTGAAGCGCCGACGTCCGAGAGGTCACGTCTATCAGCACCCCCCTCACGCCCGGTCACATCGTACAACATCACTGCCAGCCATTGCATACTCTGGGCCGACATGAATATGACGCAGCAAGCGGCACAGACATTCGGTGGAAAAGCGCGGGAGGGGCAGGCGGGAATTTTGGTGGGCCACGATCATCAGATGTGGACGTGCAGCGGTCCGGACGCCCGCAAAGGCCCCATTTTCATCTCGAATTTGCGGAAAAAACCCCGTTCATACCGTTAGCGGACCCATATAAATCCGTCTTGGATGACAAAACACATCCAAACATCGCACCACCGTGACGGCTGTGGATGTTTAAGAGTCCGCATTGGAGATGCTGGAAGGCGAGAAAAAGAAAACCTGGAGACTGTCTCTCTGCGATGACTCTCTTTACGTTTTTCTTTTAGTTGCTTTTAAGTTGTTTCTATCCACGTGAGCAACGCAGATACACCGATACAAATCAGTTCGGTACACAGTCCGACCCCCAGCCCGTCCCGTTCCGTCAAAACCAGGAGGAAAAACCAACCGAACGAACTCTCCCGATCCGCCCGACCCGATCCCCAAATCCCTCCGCGTCTCATGGCGGCGAGCCTGTGGCGAGCGGTGATGGGCACCGGCGCCCCGCCCGCGGACGCCACGGACGGCATCGAGTTCTGGCGCGAGCCCGAGCGCGGCGGGTGGCTGGACAAGCAGGGCGAGTACATCAAGACGTGGCGGCGGCGGTGGTTCGTGCTCAAGCAGGGGAAGCTCTTCTGGTTCAAGGACTCGACCGTCACGCGCGCGTCCGTGCCCCGCGGCGTCATCACCGTCGCCTCCTGCCTCACCGTCAAGGGCGCCGAGGACGTGCTCAACCGCAAGTTCGCCTTCGAGCTCTCTACCCCGGGCGACACCATGTACTTCGTCGCCGACTCCGAGAAGGAGAAGGAGGACTGGATCAACTCCATCGGCCGCTCCATTGTCCAGCACTCCCGATCCATGACCGACGACGAGATCGTCGACTACGACAGCGGCCGCCCCGCGGCCGGCGGCAAATCATAGATTCGTCGATTGATTCGGTGAGCAAAAGGACCGGTGAGGCGGTGTCACCTGTAATTCTACTGTTCTACATCGTCTTTGTCATATTTATCTAGATTCTTTTAGTTCATATTTTCCACAGATATGATGTGTGCACCTGTATATTATTAGTGATTTTAGGTGTCTTTATTTATACTATGGATCGGTTTTGTTCTTATAACTTTTAAGTACTGTTCGATTTGTATTTGGTCCTTAAACTTTCTTATCCAAGTGTATATCTCAAGCCGTAGCAAATTGAACAAGGGGATGTTTCTCGGTGTTTTTGACTTCTGTACATGTAGAGTTGTCTGATAATATTTGGCTTGTTATGACTGGATACATAGTGGCCCATTAACCGTAAAATCATGCATTGTATCTTGTTCGTTCAACATCTTGGTTTGCCTACTCCAGCGAGAATGCTTGGTTGACCATGATGAACTCAGAGCAGTGTTTGTGTACAGAAAAAAAAGGCAACCCTCCTTTGCCTTCTGTCAGTATCAACAGACAGAAGCGACTGCATGATTGTGTTCCATTAACATACTTGTGTTTTTATGAGCTTATCACTTAAAATAGCTTTTGTGCTAATCACTTAACCATGTTGAGAACATCTGCAAAGCTGCAAATAGCAGTATTTAAGTACATCAATATGGTTATAAGCAAATCATGTGAAAACAGCTGTAAACAGTGATGTTATGAGTAATGATACCTCCAATTATATTCCTTCACCTCATTACTGAACATGTCAGGTCCCCATCTCATCATTGGAAATGGCTAAGCTCAAGAGCTGAATGCTTAACATCATTCCTAACATTATTGTGCCATCACGTGGTAGATACATGTGGTCAGTACTGTACTTATGTTCCTGCAAAAAAGAATTGCATTTATGGAGATAATAGTTTCACAGTACATCCTGATAAGATAACTCTGTCTTATGCAGGCTAGCTGCGTAGATGTGTTTTTTCTGTTTCTCTAATTATTTCCTGACTTATGAATGTTATATGTGTATATCTGATTCAAGGACACTTGCTTTGCATGCCCAGCAAGATAATGTTCTGTAGACACATTTATCTGTTAAATATACCAAAGTATTGAAGTGGGATAAAGTTCACATATTTTTCTATGCCAACTTGGCAACATAGTGTTTGGAGCTTGGAGACGACACTCTGCGTCTGTTTTGAAACAGGTATATTAATGTAATTTCGGTTGGGAATACAGACACCTTGTTGAGGTTGAGTAGCTAGGTTCTGGTGCATGACCTATGAAATATGATGCTTATACCAGTTTAACTTGTTAAGGGTACATTTTTGTATCCCACAGGGATCTTTGCAGCTCTAATGGTAGTTCTCTGACGAAAATCAACATAGTTTGAATTTCCAGCATTACATTTTCGTCGGCTTCTATTTTACCAAGTTCGTGTTGTTGTACCTGTGACATGCTCTTCAATATTTTGTTCACATGCCAGATTTGTAAATGTGGTATATAGCCTTTTGTGATGTAACTGCAGCTTCTGAGCTTGCTGTACTTAATTACTGTCCACCTTCTCCTAGATCAGACAATCCTATTTTAACCATGGTCAATGATTTGACCTGAGGATTCATTTGGAGAACAAGTTGACAGTAGAGCTGACTTATAATTTTGTCAACGTCTGCAAATCTGTTGTTGATGCTATTAATCAACATCTGTAATAGTATATCCTTTTACTTCTCTCCAGAATTTTCCAAGTAAAGCTTCTGCTAGTTGTCACAACTTCATCCAGTATAGCGAAAAATCCCGACTTCTTATTTCGTTCAGATTTATACCCATCATGGTGTTGCTTTTAAGACAGTAGACAATCGTGCTTAACAAGATGATGCTGTGAACTTTGTACTGTTCCAGCTTTCAAATCCGCAGCTTCTTGAAACCCTCCAGGCCCCGGAAGGAAGACCTGCCCAGTATAAGCAAACTGACGATGCTCGTCACAGACCGAATGAATCCTTTTACCTCTTGAAAAAACAAACTGAAACTCGCTTAATATATAAAGCAGACCACAACATCCAAACGAGTTCAAGTGCGGGAAGGAAAATAAATAGTCTGCCGGAGCAACAACACGAACATGCTAAAAAGAAAAAAAGGAACAACACAGGCTAGGAGACTAAGCAAGCGGCGTCCAGCTGCAATGGGGCATTGACCATGCCCCCTAGCAGCTCCTTATCCCGCTGAAATTTGAACATAGAGCAAAAGCAAAGCAACATAGCAACATTTCTGGACTTCCATAAAGGTCCAGCAACCTACAGGCAGCCCAAGAAACTGAACATATGAAAATAGCCACAAGCTTACATTTCCAAGGGAATGGGTTGCCCAGAGTTCTAACTCATGTTCTTATACTGCGATCTGGCAAATAATTTCTCCTTATTGCCGTGTTTTGGAAAAGCTTTTATCGGCATCCTCGCTTGAACCACAATCAATTATTATTTTCATACAGTTTGTCTGATTGCATCTGCTTGTTTGCAGATACCCATCTACTAAAATGAAAGGAAAGATCCTACACCTACGCCCACATTAATTGGCCTATAAACTTATTAAATACACTGAATTGCTGGCCTTTCATTCCATGGAATTTTGCGGTAGAGAAAGGTAAGTATCTTATCTTGAAGTGGAGCTAAGCTCGACAAGGGAAGCGTAGGCTCCATCCTTCATCCGCATCAGTTCTTCATGCCTTCCTTTCTCCACTATCGTCCCGTTCTTCACGACGCTGATAATGTCGGCGCCTCTCACAGTCGACAGGCGATGCGCCACCACCACGGTCGTCCTCCCGACCATCACCCGGTCCAGCGCCTCCTGCACCACGCGCTCCGACTCGGCGTCCAGAGCACTCGTTGCCTCGTCCAGCAGGAGCATCTTGGGGTCCTTGATGACGGCCCTCGCGATGGCGACCCGTTGCTTCTGCCCGCCGGACAGCTGGATCCCCCGCTCACCGACGATGGTGTTGTACCCATCAGGCAGCCCGGAGATGAACTGGTGCGCGTTGGCTGCTTCAGCGGCGGCCACAATCTCTTCTTCGGAGGCCTCCCCTTGCTTTCCGTAGGCTATGTTGGCGCGGATGGTGTCGTTGAACAGCACTGGCTCTTGCGCCACGAGCCCGATCTGTAGCCGAAGCCAGCTGACTTTGAGGGTCGGAAGCTCCACGCCGTCAAAAAGGATCCTGCCTGAACTCGGGTCGTAGAACCTCTCGAGCAGCGCAATGGCGGTGGACTTCCCACTTCCACTCTCTCCAACAAGGGCAGCTGTCTGTAAAGATAGTGGCACCAGATTAACCTTCGTACTAGCTAGCATACTTATTAGTTAACATAGAAAGAAGGTTGTCAAAAAAAAGTTGACATAGAAAGAAAGTAACCTTTCCAGAAGGAATGATCAAGGACAGATCAGTGAATATTTGAACATTAGGGCGTAAGGGGTAACTGAAGCACACATTCTGGAACTCAATGTCACCCCTGAGATTTGCAACCACCATGCCCTCCTCGCTGCTGGAATCTATCTTGGACTTACGGTCAAGAATTTCGAACACGGAGATGGCCGATTCACTAGCCTTGGTGCTATCTGCACCTACTGCGCTTGTTCGTGAGATCCCAGTAGCCGCCAAAACTAATACGAAGAAGACCTGAGAATCGGTGGATTAGTTAACAAAAATACGAGGTTAGAACAATCAGCACTCAAGTTCTGAATAAGAATAATGTGCTCGTACCCGAAACACTTCAGGAAATGTTGCCGTTCCTTCATGAACAAACTTTGCACCGACGTAGAAGCAGAGAGCATAAGTAAGGTAGAACATAAGGAATGAAAACCCAAATCCCAAGCCACCAACAACACCTTCCCTCACTCCCTGCCTTGTTGGAGATTCACATTTCTTTTCATAGGCATCCATCACCTTCTGCTCTGCGCAAAACGACGCCACGGTTCTGATTCCTCCAACGGCGTCGGTTGCTACTTGACTTGCTTCCTCATACTTTAACTGCATCCCACCAAACTATTAGACAAAACAACTCTCCATCTGACGAATACATGTATGAACATTGGTCATTTTGTTGGTGTTGTTTTTGAGGAAAAATGAATAATAGTAATTGCTAATTCACAGCATGCACCTTTGCATTTTTATTGAGACCTTTCAGGAACTTCATTTGAGCATAGGCTTGGAAACCCACCAATGGAACCACCACTGTGATAATCAATGCCAGCTTCCAGTTTGCCACCATAGCTATTGCGAAACCTACTATGATGGTCGATATAGTCTGGACATTAAGTGCTAAATTTTCTCCAACAAGCCGCTTCACGTTCAGAGCATCAGTCGATAGCCTTGCACCTATTGCTCCACTAGAAAAAAAGTTGAAACTTGTCTAAGTAAACCTGTAGAATATTGCACTAGTTGACAAGGATAACTCTTCACAATTTTTTCTTTGAAAATGCCAGATGGATTAATCTTAGCATTGATAAAAATTGTAAGAACACTGCTCAAGCTAGTTAGCATACATAAATGTTCTTAAAAAAAACTGTATACTAACTGTTAGGGCAAAAGGAACCTTTGTGACAACACATCATGATGAGAAAAAGACTAAACACAGACCTAGAGTGTTCAGGTTTATCAAACCAGTTGATATCCTGGTGCATGACACTTCGGAATGTCAGCGACCGTATGCGCTCCACAAGCTTCCCACCTGCTAATCCAAACAAGAAGTACTCTATTGGAATCAGAACAAGCGCACAAGCACCCAGCATGGCAAACATGCTTGCCCAGAACCTCGAGTCCTTGAGTAGTTCTGCTGGCGGCTCATAAAACGTCTTTATTGCACTTGAAATCAATATGCCATATACAGGCAAAATGGCCCCGTGCATTGCAGCAGCAACCGAACCAAGAGCAAGAACAAGAGCCTCTGGTTTGTTCAGATAAAAGAGTCGGCCGATTGGAGCTTTCTTTCTGTCACTAGATATTTTATCTGCACTCTCCTCTAGGTCTTGATCATTGTTGAATTCCATGGGATCACATGGAGCAGGGTAAGGATGTGTACCACTGTGCCCAAAAGAGGAGCCTTTACTGGTTGATCTTCTAAAGGAGCTACCTTGGCTTCTTGGTTTCCTTGTGAACGACCTAGAGCCAAAACTGTTTTCCATTATCGCATCAGGATCGACATTAGGGGCTTCTGCTACCTGCAGAGTCTCTTGCAGATGAATCAGCTGAGAGTATGCACCTTCAGGTTTGTTCACCAGTTCTACATGTGAACCTGCTCGAAATTCACAGATCAAGTAGCAAGTCAGGACATCTATTTTGAAACAGAGTATGTACTTCCTATACAGAGGTTGTCAATTCTCATATGACATACCTTGTTCCACAATCTTCCCGTGTTGTAGGACAGATATGACATCAGCGTTCTTTACTGTGCTTAGGCGGTGTGCAACAATGATTGTAGTCCTTTCTAACATTACCCTATCCAAAGCTTCTTGAACGACCCTCTCAGATTCCATATCCAGCGCGCTGGTTGCTTCATCAAGTAGCAATATCCTAGGGTTTTTTATAATCGCTCTAGCAATTGCTATTCTTTGCTTCTGCCCTCCAGACAGCTGAATTCCACGTTCCCCAACCATTGTCTCAAGACCCTGCAATGTTTCACAAAATGTACATACTTTTAATTAACCATGAGTGAGTTAGCAACAGAATTAACATTATGTACATCTTAATTTCGCACTGTACATTTGGCAGTTTATCAATGAAGTTTGCTGCATTTGCAAGCTCGATTGCTCTTCTGATCTCTTCGAGATTAAGATCATCCTTCCCATAGGAAATATTTTCCCTGATCGTACTCGAGAACAATACTGGTTCTTGGCTGACGAGACCGATTTTTCCTCTTATCCACCCAAGAGTCATTCTTCTAATGTCAACTCCATCTATCAAGACTTCCCCAGACTGTGGATCGTAGAATCTCTCCACCAAACTGACGACAGTTGACTTTCCACTACCGCTCACTCCAACTAGTGCCATTGTAGTTCCACTTGGTACCAGTAAGGAGAATCCATCAAATACCAAATGTTCAGGCCTGGTAGGATAGCTGAAGTAGACATCCTTCAGTTCAACATCACCCTTGATGTCTTCCAATATGATACCTGTGGTGTTATATACATCAATACATGGTTGTCTTTCAATTGTCTTGAACATTCTATATGCTGCTCCTTGACCTTGTGCAAAAGCTGTTATTGATGGTGCTGCCTGACCTAAGGACCTGCAGAAGAGACGTAACTCGAGTCAGAAACCAGAAGATCTCGAAAACAGACATGGAAGACCCTATTTGACATACTATGTTTGAAAGTCTGACTGCTGCTTTACAGATCCCACATCCTTATCAGAAACAAATTAGCAAGCACGATGTTACATCCTTCGGAGAACTGTGGGCTGGTCTGGTGCAGCAGCCGTGACCTTTTAGTATCATATGTCATATGCCCACATGACACACGGTCACGGAGAGGCACGTCCATGGGGAAACGTGGCACATTACTCATCTATTAATCTAACTATGTCTAAATTGCCACTTATCAGATATAGTGTTCTTCAAGTCATTCTTAACCACATACTCCCTCCGTTCAGAATTACTTGTCTCGGAAATGGATGTATCTAGAACTAAAATACATCTAGATACATCCATTTTCGAGACAAGTAATTCCGAACGGAGGGAGTATAATTCAAGAATAAAATGACCCGGTACTCAAGAAAGTTCATTAAAAAATCTAAAGCCCACCAATAATGCTCTCAACATTGCACCCCTAGATTCAAAGAGGAGCTCAAATGGATTATCTTCAGAGCTCACAGAAAGAAGTACTCCCTCCGTTCCAAAATACTTGTCTTTCTAGGCATTTCAAATGGACACAACATATGGATGTATGTAGACATATTTTAGAGTGTAGATTCGCTCATTTTGCTTCGTATGTAGTCACTTGTTGAAATCTCTAGAAAGACAAATATTTAGGAACGGAGGGAGTATATTGATTTTGAGGCCTGGGTCAACTCTTTTAGATAGCTTGCTCCCCAGGATATTTGTTGTTGGTGTATTGTGTAGTTCTTTTCTTTTATCTTTTTGAACTATTTTTCTGTATACATTATTTTGAAAAATCAATAAAATGCACGCAGCAGAGTCCTGATTTTTCCTCTAAAAAAATGCACCCCTAGCTATAATCTCCGCCCTTCAACAACCTCTGAAACAAGTTTTAAGTATGTACTCAGAATATTAAAGTGGTAAGGACTAATGTACGGAACTTACATTGCGCCAACCATGACGGACATTATAATAGTAATAACTATGCCACCATTATATCCTCGGTCGACTATCAATTTAGATCCATACCAAACTGCCAACCCATAGCTGCAAAACAAGATTGCCATTATTGAACCCACTCCAAGGCCACTGACAGCACCTTCTCGACGAGCAGACTCATATGCTTTTCTTATGAACTTGTTATATGTTGTTATAGCTTGCTTCTCACCATTGAATGAGACAACCTTCAAAGCATAAGCATAAGAAGAGAATAGTGACCGCAAGAATCAATAACAAAAATAAAGCATAATTTCTATTTGGTTTGGGCCACAAATCAAAGAACAGGAAAACAGAAGGCAAACATTGACTTCGACAAAATATTGGCGTCCAAATTGGCCAGGTGAGTTGTTCTAACTTTGGCCAAAAATGGCTTAGAAAGCCCCCAACAAATGGAACCTTCCCAAAATTTTGACATCACACCTTATAGGGGCCAAATGTGTAAAACTTTGACTCGCATGGTCATGGGCATCAAACGAAGTAGACCATGTATCCACTAGCACTCACCGTTCGAATGGTCCCAATAGTTTGCTCAACAATGTCTCCAGCATCACCATATTTTGCTTGCATTTTAGTGGACAACGTTGTCATCATCCTTGACACAATAGCACCGGCCACGGCTACTGGAGGGATGCTTGAGAGCATGACAAGTGTCAAGAGCCATCCTCTCACAAATGCAACAATGAAGCCTCCAAAAAAGGTAGAAAGGAGCTGTATGATCTTGCCAACCTATGAGAAAAATGTATGTATAGCAAAGTGTTAAAATAAAATGGAATCCTAGTTATTATTAGATACTTATACAGAAGGTTAATGGACTAAGCTTTGCAATGTCTGGTAGCAAGTTCATGTTATATATCCAATTCACTGAGTGGGTCTTCATCTCTGCAAGTCTATCAAACTGGTATTTCGTTGGTTATTATTAATATGGATCCATGTGAATGCAGTGTGCACCCATTACTTGTCGACTGAAGACAGGTGCAAAATTATGTGTTGTCCGTATAACAGAGCTGAGCCCAGACTCATATCGTAGGTTCATTTTGAGTACAAAAAATACGACAATTTATTTTCTCTATGACTTTCAGCTACCAATCTTTTCTAAAGAGCTAGCTTCTAGTCCGTGAACATACTGTTAGGTTAGCACATAAAAGAATGTAAAATCATTATACCACCTTCAATGTGACGAAATACACACACTTTCCCATATTGGTCAAAGAGATCGGTCATCTAAAGTGACAAAATGAATGAGAAGAGCCTTTTTATGTACAAGCTTATGCATATTGGCTGTAAGATTATAGCATCTAACAATGCTTTGAATGATGTGTCACAAGCACTCCTTGTGATAAAACAGCCTACCTTTTCTCCAATGGCATCTTGAATGAGGAATGTGTCCCCAGACATCCTCTCAACAACTTGTCCAGTGCTCATTTCCTTGTCAAAAAAAGCAATGTCCTGTCTGAGAATCGCCTTGAGATACATAGCTCTGATTCTTGCTGCCTGTCTTTCTCCAGTAATTGTCCAGCATGATACCTCTATCAAAACATCAAACTGATCAATAAAATGAAGGATGCTTTGAGTAATACCCTTAAAGTTACTCTAGATGATCTAACTCTTAGGCTCGTATTCTGAAATATCTCATTCATATCAGTACATTGAGAGTTTGAGACACAAAGCATCTGCGTTTTCTCAAAAATAAAATTTACTCTGGATAACAGTATTGAAACATTTTTTTTTTCAGGAACAAGCAAGCAGGGAGTCAGAGCATCTCCAACCACAAACCTTAAATTTTGCCCACATTTGTCAGCGGACATTGCCCGGACATGTCCGCCCCTCTCCCCCATTTACCCGGGTAGACAACGGCACTCCCCATTTTTTTTCAGACATTTCACCGAACACGTTGCGTGCACAGCCCGGACGTAGCGGAGCGCCCCAGATACAGAATGCACGCACGCGGCGGCAGGACGGCAACGCTCTCCGTCCAGCGACGAGCGCCACCACCCTCGCATGCAGCAGCAACAGCAGCACACAGCTCACGCGCTCATGCAGCAGCATCAGGCACGCATCAGCAGCAGCACACCATTAGCAGGTAGCAGCAGCCTACATCGCAAGCCCAAGCACGCACCACACAAGAGCCCGCGCTAGCAGCCGCCCGGGCGTGGCGACCTCCGGTTCATGGTGCGACTGCTGGAGCGCTCGGGGCTCTGGGACGTGCGTCCGCTCGCTGCGCCGAGCGTGCGGAGGGCGGGCGGCTGGCTCGGTGGACCGCGCGTGGAGATGACGTGCGCGCGTGGTCGGGGAGCTCGAACCGAGCCACCGGCCGCTGTGCTTCTCCCTCAGCACCGGAGCAGTGCCTCCCGGCCGTGGTACCGGCGTCGTTGCGGGCGGCCTGGCCCTCCCTAAGAGCATCTCCAACGGCCGCGCAAAACGACGCGCGCGGGGTAAACTCAGCTTTTAGCGCGCGGGGCGTTTTGCCGCGCTCCAGCGGCGGCGGGAAAATCGTGCGCGCCGGAACCGTTTCCCCGCGCGCGAAAAGGCGCCAGCTCGCGCCTCATTTTTTGCGCACCGCTTACGGTGTGGCGCGCGCCACGCGCCTCTCCACGCCTCCTCTTCTCCTCTTCCTCTCCCTCTCTGCCGCGCGCCGCTCCAGCGCCCCGCCACTGACGCGCCTCCACCGCCCCAGCGCCCCGCCATGCCGCCGAGGAGCGTCCGGCTACCGCGGCGTCCGCCTGCGCCCCAACGGCGCTACTACGCGGAGATACGTTCCGGCGATCTCCGGCTCGGCCTCGGCACGTACGGGACGGCGCGCGAGGCAGCCCGCGCGTACGACGCGGCGGCGTGGCGCCTAGGCCGGCCGCGCGGCCAGATGAACTTTCAAGATGTGTACACGCTCCAGCAGGCGCTCGACGTCGCCCCGCCGCCTCGTCTGAACACGAGTTCTTCGTCAGTATGGAGATCTTCGAGCGTGCGCTCAACTTCAAATGGGAGGTCATCGTCGTCTACGGAACGGCGGACCACAGCCGCTCCCCGACATTCCTCGCCGAGCTGCAGCAGAAGATCTCTGCGTCCTCTCTACCCGTTGTGGTGGTGGGGGGGGACTTTAACCTCATCCGCTCCCCGGATGAGAAGAATAACGACCGGGTTAATCGCCCCCGGATGCAGATGTTTAACGACTGCATCGCGGAGCTTGGCCTCCGTGAGCTCGAGCGCACGAGGGCCCAGTTCACCTGGACTAACCTTCAGGCAAACCCGACGCAGTCTATCCTAGACCGCGTCTTAGTTTCCCCGGATTGGGAGCTCAGATGCCCCCTGGCCTCGGTCCAGGCAATTACCAGGATCGGGTCTGACCATGTCCCTCTCCTCCTCTCCTCGGCTGATGAGCGCCCCCCATTCCCCCCCGGTTTCGGTTCGAGGACTTCTGGCTCAACCAGACCGGGTTCCGCGAGGCGGTTGCGGCCAGGTGGGCCGCCGCTCGCGTCTCCCCCCACCGCACCATGTCCGCGGTCGACTCCTGGCAGTTCTGTGCCAAGCTAGCCTGCCAGTTTATGAAGGGCTGGGGCGCGAACCTTGGCCGGGATATTCGTGAGCGCAAGAAGGCCATCTTAAGCGCTATCCAGGCCCTGGACGTCCGTGCTGACCTGTCGGGGATCTCCCCGGATGAGTGGATGTTGAGGTATGACCTCGAGGACCAGCTCTCGGCCATTTACACGGACGAGGAGGCCTACTGGCGGATGCACGGCACTCAACGCTGGGTGCTCCAGGGCGACGCCAACACGGCCTACTTCCAGGCGATTGCCAACGGCCAGCGGCGTCGTAATTCCATTCATTCCCTGTGGGCGGGTGAATCCCAGCTTGTTCGCCCCTCGGACATTCGCGCCCACGTAGATGGCTTCTATAAAGCCCTATTTTCCCCCACCCCTAGGGGTGGGGCTGCTCTGGCCCCCGATACCTGGTCGGGGGTCCAGCTTGTGTCCGTCGAGACCAATGACGCTCTAGTGGCTCCTTTCTCAGAGGAGGAGGTCCTTGCGGCGATCAAAGGAATGAACCCCTCCTCGGCCCCGGGCCCGGATGGACTGCTAGTACTGTTCCTTAAAACATTCTGGCAGACCATTAAGCCTGAGGTCATGGCCCTTTTCGACGAGTTCTTCTCTGGAACCATGGACCTGGGGCGCCTGAACTATGGGATCATTACCCTCATCCCTAAAGTTCCTGGGGCCTCGGACATCCGCCAGTTTCGCCCAATCACCATGATCAATGTGATCTTCCGGATCCTGGCCAAGGGGTACGCCAATAGGGTGACCCTTCTTGCAGACTCCATCACCCACCCCAACCAGTCCGCCTTCATCCAAGGTCGATTTATTTTGGATGGGGTGTTGGTCTTCCATGAAGTCCTGCACGAAGTTCGAGCAAAGCACCTCCGTGCGGTGTTCCTTAAGCTCGACTTCCACAAGGCCTACGACACGGTGCACTGGCCCTTCCTTCGGGAAGTATTGCTTCGGAAGGGCTTCGACGACCGCTGGGTGACACGGGTTATGCAACTTGTCACCTGCGGCCGGACGGCGGTCAACATCAACGGTGAGATCGGGCCCTACTTCCCCACCTTATGTGGGGTTCGCCAGGGTGACCCGTTCTCCCCGTTCCTCTTTAACATGGTGGTCGATGCCCTTGCGGTCATCCTGGATAAGGCCAAGGCGTGCGGTCATATTCGGGGCGTTGTCCCTCACCTAGTTGGCTCTGGAGGGGTCTCCCTCCTCCAGTATGTGGACGACACCATTATCATGGTTGAAGGCTCCGAGTCCGACATCGCTAACCTGAAGTTCCTCCTCTTATGCTTCCAACAAATGTCCAGACTCACCATTAACTTCGACAAGAGCGAAGTGATGGTCCTTGGCTACAACCCGGATGAAGCCTCGTCCATTGCGGATAGGCTTAACTGCCGCCTGGGCACCTTCCCCACCACTTACTTGGGGGTGCCCATTAGTGACTCCAGACTCACCGTCGCGGATCTGCGACCGACGGTGACTAGGATGCACCGCAGGGTTGAACCCTGGAGGGGTCGCTGGCTGTCGAAAGCCGCAAGGGTGATCCTTATCAGTTCCTCGCTTGCGAGCCTCCTCTGGTTCCTCTTGAGCTTCTATGGCCTTCATGAGACCCTTCACCAGGAGGTGAACAAATACCAGTCGAGGTTCTTCTGGGCTGGCGAGGACAACAAACAGAAGTACCATATGGTGAGCTGGTCCGACATTTGCAAGCCCAAAGACCAGGGGGGTCTCGGGATCCTCTCTTCTCGACGCATGAACATTGCCCTCCTAACTCGCTGGTTGTGGCGTATTGCCAACGGGGAGGGAGGCCTCTGGCTCACCATCATCCGCAATAAATACCTTCGTGGCCAGCCTCTTGCCTTCTGCCAACGTATGGGCGGTTCTCAGTTTTGGTAGTCCGTGATCCAGCTCCTTCCCGTACTACGCATTGGCACCTCTGTCTCTGTTGGCTCCGGTGCCTCGACCCTATTTTGGTTAGATCGATGGCTAGGGGACGCCCCCCTGGCGGTGCGTTTCCCTGAGCTCTTTGCCATTGCGGTTGACCCTCGGGTCTCGGTCGAGACGACCCTTATTGACTTAGGGCGTCTCGCCTTCCGGCGCATGTTTGGCCCCCTTGAGGTGGCCGCCTGGGACTCCCTCCTCCAGGACATTGCTCTTTTGCCGATGGATGTGGCGGAGGACCGAGATGCTCTATCCTGGCACCTCGAACCTTCTGGCCGTTTCTCCACGAAGTCCCTATACGGCGCCATTGCTCCATCGTCGGCCCCGGAACCATTTAGCCTGATCTGGGATATCCGTCTCCCGCTGAAGATCAGGATCTTCCTGTGGCAATGGATCCGTGGTCGGCTCCCCTCCGGTGTTGAGGTCCTCAAGCGGAATGGCCCGGGTGATAGGAGGTGCCCCATCTGTGGCACCATTGAGGATGCTAACCACATCTTTTTCTCGTGCCACTCTGCCCAGTTCCTTTGGGCCTGCTTCCGCGAAACGGTCGGTGGACAGTGGTGTAATACCAACTTCCCCGACCTGCTTGCCGAGCTTAACGCCTGCCCTGCCCGCTACCGCCATATTAGATGGCTGTGCGTGGGGGTTCTCGCCTGGACGCTCTGGAACATCCGTAATAAGCTTGTTATTCAGAAGGTGCCCCTTCGCCGTGCGACTGACGCAATCTTCAAATTGTGTGGTTACCTGCAGCTTTGGCGGCCGCTTAGCCGCCCCCAGGACCGGGACGTCATCACCGCCCTCCTCTCCGATCTTCGCTCGATGGCGCTCCGCGTGGTTCCCCCGCTGCCGCCCCCTCCTCCTGAGCCTGACTAGGCCTCCTGGCGCCTGTGTGGACTGTGGCCTGCGTTTTTTTGAGTGTAGGGCTTGTTGTGCTGTGCCCTCAGCTGAGACCCTTTGTTGTACTATTTTGGCTCTTGTGGACCTCCGTGTGTGTGTGTT